TAAGAGGAACAACGGAGCCACCCCCAGTATTGTCATCATTGGCGGGACCACCCCTGGTGTTGTTGTTTTTAGTGGGGCCACCCCTAGTATTCTGGTCAACAGGAGGGTTCTCAGCATGGAGATGTTCATCCAGATCTGAATCGCTACTTGCTTGGTCAGCAAGGTTGCGACGGCTGGATTCACCGAACTGATTGGACAGAGCCCGAATTTGTTGGTCATGCTCTTCCCTCATCCGTAGCATAGACATTTCCATTTCAATCTTGAATGCCTCTTTCTGCTTGGTCAGAGCATCCTCGAGAATTTTGATGATTTGCTCGGTGTTGATCATGAATGCCTCGTGGGATTGTCCTGGGCTGGACACCATTTTGTCAGAAGCGACTGCAGAGTTGGCATCTGATGCTTCATCATCTAAGGATAATCCCCTTTGCATTCTCTAATAATCTCTTTGTCTAATAGTTCCTGATCGCAACCGGGTTAGACGATGTGATATAAGCGGGTCAGAGCTAGAAGGTCGAATCGACTTTCCCTTATCAGACATATTTATTGTGACTTCCACCTTGAACAGTCGATTGTTTCTTGCGGAAACATTTTGGCTTAGACTTAGTCGCTCCGTTAGATATCCTCTCAAATACCGAGACCCTCTGCAGAGCGGTCATGGGGCAGCTACACGCTGATAATACTACCCTAATTAGTTTGGTGCACGGGTAGTGAGATTCTGTTTCTCGGGTACTTCTCTTCCGAAACTTATTCGTACCCTCAGCCCGATAGTATAACTCGTCAGTCATATAACCGGAGCAACCTATCGCGTGTTGGCATGACTTTTCAGGTATAACGTCGTCGTCTGACGAACACGTTTTCTTCTGAGAGCTTGCTGCCTTATTGGCGTTCTTAAGAGTCACATATTTGGAGCTACGCTTTTGGGAGCGTGAACTCTTGACGGGCTCTTGGACTTCAATTCGTCGTCCGAGGCGGTCAAGTGTAGGGGTTTTCCTATTATAGGAAGGCTCTGACTTGTTGCGAGGGTGTGTGCGACCCCCAGCTCGAGTGGTTACTCGGGGTTCAGTCACCGGACCCAAGCGTTTTTTGATCGGAAATTTACCTCGATCCTTGTGCAAAGGACCCAGGCAATCCGTCATCCACATCTTGAAACAAGACAAGTTTCCATGGTCGTGAGGCTTCACTGGAAGTGCGGAATTCATCGGGACAGAAACAGGGGCTGTCGGAGGCTTAAACGGGACTGCGAGAGGTAAACCGGGTGCGAACCGAACCGAACCGCATGCGAACCAAACCGAACCGGGTGCGAACCGGCACAAACCACCACTTGGTGGCTCGGCCTAAGCCGAGCCACCAATTGTGGCTTGTTTTTGGCCGAGCCACCAGATGGTGGTTCGCACATTCTGGTAGTTTCGGGCGCTGTTTGACTTTTTGTCGACGCCGTTTCAGACTTTGGTTTCTAGACTTGGCATGGTTTCTGTGGCCTCTTGATCATCTCTTTTTGCTTCAACTTTTGCGCTTCTTGTATGAGAATCCGTGCGTGCGCAATCATGGCGTGGCACTTCTGAATGCGCTCCTTGATGGTTGAGCGGGTACGTTTGACTTGGATCCACTCATTCGCTGTTGGTTTGGAGGAGATGTCATTTATTTTCTGCTGGGGCACTCGGTGCCTTCTGCATTTTAGATACACCGCATAGTCGATCCCGTCAACAGGCTCCAAAGCCTTAGCAAGTCGGCGCGCAAGTTGTTGGCGCTGCCTTTGGCGTGCGCTCTTTGATAGGGTTGGCATGACTTCTGCAATTGACTCCTTGATGGAGGAAGGGTCTAGATCTGTAGATCCGGGCTTGTTAGAGGCCGGAGGGGCTTTACAAGGCAAGATTGCAATGACAACGGGGGCATTGATCTTCCTGCGCTTACGAGGGGCAGAGGATCTAGATGAGGAGGATGACAGATACTCCTCGAACTTCAGTTGGTCGAATTCATACTCGACCACTTCTTCAATCGGGATCTGGATCTTTGGTTGCGGCACGACAGCTTCGGCAGCGAAGCTGTTGGCTCTCATTGTGGTCGCCAGCTTGTTTGGGTAAAAAATCATTGTTTTCATTGTGATTGAATCTATTACAACTTTAACCGTTTACAATAAACTCAAATAAAAAGTTGATCTTTTTATAAGATCTCCTTATACAATGAAAATGCAAAAGATACGACTCTTGTCAAATAGCACAGCGGATGTTTATCACCCGCTACTTGTGTGGGATCTTTGCCTGTGCCGGGGACATTAATATCCGTGGACCATCACGGATTAGATCTGGTTGACAGATTAAGTTGATCAAAGCTCTTACTTCATGAAGGAAGTAATCGCTATAGCGATGATCCCGACCAAGCGAGATCATGGCTCTTCTCAAGATTTAAGACTAAGCTTAAATCTGGAGGAATAGGGGATGGATCTCGGATCTATCAAACTCCACTCTTTATGCACAGGAGATCGCCAAGATCTGCTAACCCCTGCTATAAATTCGTGGCTCCACTCTACAATTCGGCAGCACCTCGTCCTCTTGATTTTTAGCCCCGGAGAAATGAGCACCCGAGCTCGTATTTATAAGCTTCGGAAACGGGTATTTGGATAAGAACGAGGGATTCCTCCTTATCTTCAGTTAAGAACTGATTAACCATAGTATCAGATCAGTTGGGATGCTCAGGAACCAACAAATCCCGAGAGAATTCATGAAAACCGAAAAATCATACTTTTAGATCAAATCTGACCGAAACATCACCCGGTGGCTCGGCCGCTGAGCCACCCTTGGTGACCTGGCTATGGGCCGAACCACTGGTTCGGCCGAGTCGTTTCGATGCGACTCGACCGCCAGCGGCTTTCTTAGTCTTCCGGATTTTGACTTGTTCTGTTGTTATACGTATTTCATCGTTTTATTGATCTGTACACTGTTTTGATGGCCGATGAGCGTGCGGGCTACTTGGTGGTGGCCGGTGAGCATGCGGACCACTTGGAGCTGGCTGACGAGTGCACGTGCCACTTGGAGGTGGCCGGTGAGCGCACAGGCCATTCGGTTTGCCGTTTCGCTTCATGTGTTCGTTGGTGTCAGATAATCCTCTTAGACTTAGATAATAGCGTTCATAACCTTCTCTCTGTCTCGAGCTGTGTGTGAATACCTATAGGAATTTTTTGACGCCTACAATTTTGACAATTGCCAATGACGTCATAATACTAGAAGTATTTTAGACTATCCAATAAAATACTGGGGAGGCTGAAGGACAATGGTCAACAATGTCGTAATACAAGAAGGAGCCTGAAGACTGAAGAAGTCAAGGAACTGAAACCACCTGTGGGCCTTTTTATAGTCCACTCGATAAAATACTGAATAGACTAAAAGCAGAGCCTATCTTGTCTAAAGTATTTTAGACTTCTCGATAAATTACTGAGGAGGCGGTGAGCGTGCGGGCCACTTGGTGGTAGCCGGTGAGCACGCGGGCCACTTGGTTCACCGATTTGGTGGCTGATGAGCGTGCAAGCCACTTGGTGGTGGCCGGTGAGCACGCGGGCTACTTGGAGCTGGCTGACGAGTGCACGGGCCACTTGGAGGTGGTTGGTGAGCGCACAGGCCTTTCGGTTTGCCGTTTCACTTTATGTGTTCGTCGGCGTCGGATAATCCTCTTAGACTTAGATAATGGCGTTCATCATCTTCTCTCTGTCTCGAGCTGTGTGTGGATACCTATAGGCATTTTTAGACGCCTACAATAAGAAATTTCACAATTTTTATCTACCTTATTTACCTTGTCAAATTTATGAGGGCATTTTGTTTCTGGTGAAGTTGATACAGCACCCTGGACGCTCCCACTGGAACAGCTACCCATCACAAGTCTCTAAGACTCTATGATTTTTATAAATAAATTTTCTAATGTTTAAAATACTTTTTTTTTGACTTCTAAAGGCCAAAAACTATTTTTGTAAAAATTCAAAAAATAACTTTACTATGAAATCTATTGGACCCCACGTTAGAAATTTCCAAAATATCTAAATAATAATAATAATAAACTTCTAAAATTTTTAAAGAAAAATAATAAAAATAATTTCTAAAAATTTCAAATATTTTTATTATATTAAAATATTTTTTGATTTAAAACATTTCTTAAATTTTCAGAAAAGAAAACAAAGAAAAAAATTCATCAAATTTACAAAATATGCCCCTAGGTTTTCAAAACCCCTAGGGGCAACTGGACTTGTGGCCTTAGTGGTGGTGCTGCCTAGTAGCGTCGCCCTAAACCCTATTCAGGTTCGGCCGTGGGCTTTTTTCGCAAAACCATCAGCTACAGCAACCTAGTGTTGCCACCCTAATCCTGGCCGCTGCCATTTCTTTAAATTAAGAAATACCTCCAGTGCCCTACGCAATGGTGGTTAGAGTCCCTTCCCCGACGCCAAGTGTAGGGGATTCCTTAGTTTCCCACCGCTGCCCACAGTGGCCCAGCGGCGGTGACAGTAAATGTTAAAATCCACCCTTTTTTGGAAAAAACTTTGTTTGTCACCGTTGCTGGCACCCATCACTGGTTGCAACGTGTGGCTATAGGCTTCGGCTGTCGTCAGCACCTTTGCGTCGGTGACAACTTGAACTAGGTTTTTTATTTTAAATTTAGAAATGTAGAAAATTAATTTTAATTTTTGAAAATTAAAAAAAATCTATTTTTTGATAAAAAAATTGATAAATCCCAAAGTTATTAAAAAATCCCACTCATAAAGATTGAATTTTTACCATAGATTAAGCATCCATTAAAAACAAATTTTTAATAATGAAAAACTCATCTTTTCTGCTCTATGGACCAAAAACACCATCAAGAAACTAACGAAACGATCTTAGATTCAGCTCTAATACTAATGTAGGATCTGGATAATTACATGCATGCAATAGGGTTGTTCTACTACATAAACAATGCAAAACAAAATTAAAGAAATTCTAACATGCATTTAGGAACATAAACGATATGTTTAGGATTACCTATTCAAATCTTTTCTGTAGGACCGTCACGCCTTTCTTGGTCAATGGCTGGAGGGGGACCACACTGTGGAACTGGCGAGAAGCTCCCACATATCACTCTGTGACTATCGCATAAAGCACAAATTTAATCATAGAATGAAATGACGGTTTTGTGAAGGTTTATAGCATTTTCTCTCTTATTACCATCATGAAAACCCTATATCTATATATAAAGAGCTTAGAGATAGAATCCTACACTTATTAGGATTATGAATATTGTATTTCTAAGATAAAATATTATCCACCTATTAATTTGAGTGTCTATATCATAATAATAACCAACAGTAATCATACTTCATTCTTTTACAAATTCACTTAATACGAAGAAAAACAATAATTACGCAGAATGCAAACTAACAAAAACAGATCAATCATAGATGATTACCAAAAATTCAACATCTTAAAAAAAAAATAACTTCAAGAAAAAAAATTGCTAAGGAGAAAAAAACCATGCTAACAATTCGAGAATAGTACATAACACAAATGAGCAAGAGATTAAACTCAACCGCTATTCTTGATCAAAATAACTTCAAGAACTCCCAGAAATGATCAAGCTACAGAAGATTACCTTCATGGGCATCAAGAATGGGATTGAATAGTGGATTAACAAAGATGGGTTGACGTTGAGAAGAACTCTTAGCAGTAATCAAAATGCTCTTCTCAGGATTTGAGCTCATGGGTTTCAAGAACATGGAACCTGAATGAGGAAATTAACCATTAGTTACATCGGCACCCAATCACGTTCTTTCAATTATTATAACTTCAAGAACTCCTAAGAAAGATCAATTTTCAAAAAATTACCTCCATAGGTATCGACAACTGGATTGAACAGGGACTGAATAGAAATAGATTGCTGAGAAAAACTCTTATGGCCTGTTTGAGAGATCAATAAGGGGAAGGAAGGAAGGTTAAACTTTTCCTTCCCTTCTCTTTCTTTCATTTACCCCCCAATTTGGGGGGGGGGGGGGGGGGGGG